TATGCTCTTACATTAGGGCAAACAAACAGAGACAAGAGAGATGAAAAGCCTCTGTTCAGCAGTGGAGCGACAGAAATATAACAAACATACACATGGACACATAAACAGGGATACAGACACAAAACAATCTCAGGGTCATACAAAATGTGCCCCGTTTTGGTGCATAGATGGCACAGCGGTGTCACAGCAATCAGTGCCCGGTGCTAAATTACAGCTCTGTAATTTCAAAGCCATTGTGAAGGGAGGGTAGGGGCAGCATCTGCGTCTTTTTCCTCTCATCGCACAGTCTGTGGGTGAGATCTCGACTCTGTGTTTTGATTGCAAGTTTCCAAAAATACCCATAAAGCCCTTCTGTGCTCCAGGCTTGGAGGCGTGCAAAGCACCTTTTTGGTTTCTGCTTTGTTAAAAGTGGTCATGGTAAAGAGGCAATTTGGCTACCTGCTTCATAATCTCAAAGCTTCAATAATGCTTCATAAAGCCAAAAGACTTTGAAAAAACATGGCTGTGAAAGCTGCATTTATTGCAATTATATCATTTGTTATGCTGAGATTAGGCCTATAGGAGTAGAAATTCTCCCTCCAGCTCAAAGTGCTCTAAATCACTACTCTTAAATCAATACAAAGTACCAGCGTTCGCCCCCCCTTAATTAAATCAATATCAAAGCATCGTTTCCAGTCACTCCACTTGTGAAGCGCAACCAATGAAAAAGGAGGATGGCTTTGCAGAGGACCAACAGCAAGGTGTGAAATGGATGCAGAATGTTGTCCAGTGGTGAATGCTGGGCAAAGCTGGGAAAAAAAAAAACATTTCCGAGTGGGCTGGCCTTCATTAGGTGTAAAACAGCTGTTGCATGTAGGGGTGAGTGGTGGTGGATGTGTATAAACTGGCACCTGGTAAGGGAACCACTCGAGTCATTAAGCAGTGTGCCAGAGACAGCCCCTCTACCCTCACCAGCCAAACTAATACCACCACTGCCCAAGACACTCATGAATCTGAATTATCAGACAGATGTACAGTATTCTGTATTGTCTCTGCTGGTTACAGGCAAGAAATTAAGATGGGAAGGGTGGACCAATGGTAATTCATGGAAAAAATACCAAGGGGGGGTGGGGGGTAATTTACATTAAAGTGTGACTATTTAAACATTTACTCTATATCATAAATAAAATAAATATATAATAGATGAAATTAAACAAAATTAAAGAAACAGCGCCCTTTCAACACATCACTAAAAAAATAAATCTCTCTCTCTCTATATATATACAATATATATAAAGAATACGTTAACATACACAAATACACAAGATGTAAAGTTGAAATGTTATACAATAATTAAAAAAAAATACAATTTATATAATGTAAAAATATATAAATATAAAAATGTAGGGCAGAAAGAATCTACACTACTATTTTAATGTTATACAGTCATTAAAAATGTAAATTCAACATTTTAATGATATACAAAATCTATATAAAAATATTAATTTAGGGTGGAAAGAATCTACAATACTATTGAGTTGTTATACAGTAATTAAAAAAAATAAAAAGTATGTTTAATAATAATGATCAATATTTAAAAAATCAGGGCAGAGGGAAAATGACAATGTTTTCAAGTTACAGTCAAATTTCCTGCCATTTTTTTTAATTTATTTATTATATATTTTTTATTTATTTATAATTATACTCCCAAATATCAACACAAGGTGACAAACCCATCTCTGTTATGAATTAGTTTCCACCAGCTGAAGACAAACAGCAGCTAATGCACCTGTTGCAGACGTGTTTGCTGACGCTAATGCCCAAACTAATCTGTCAGTGTGGGTAACCAAAAGTGTTCATTACTTTACTGAGGTTTCAGTTACACAACTACATAGCACGCCCACCCTAGAGAGAAATTACACAAGCCTCTGGAGATACACACAGACGTTTGCCCAAGGAATTCCGTTTCACTACTGATCCCACACTTTGAGTAATTAAATCTATCTAATTAAAGAACACAGAGAAAAGAATTGATAGAGACACAGAGAGAGAGAGACAGCGAGCACACCAGCTTTTCCCTGCTCCACATGGGGTGCTGGAAACCGGAGATTATTAGGGCGATTTGTGGGTGTTTAGAGTCTTTTAAACAAAGTCGTGAGCTGAGATCATCACAACATCAGGCTGTGTATTAACAGCAGACTGCGCAATGCTCATAAGAGATGGCAGCTTCAGCCCTGTGATACCACAAAATCAATCAGAGCGGTTTATTTTCACTCGACACGACTCTGTATAAGAGCCCCAGTTTGAGTCGCAGGGAAAAATAACTATGCAGAGGTTACAGACGTGTTCAGATAACTGATCAAATCTTGATTTGATCTGCTATTTACACTGACATAAAGACAGTGGCCAAACACACATTGCAGACGTGTGACTGGATTAAATTACAGTGTGACAAGCTGCAATATTCCATACGTCTCTTCAGAACTGGTTTGAAGTTGCCAGAAAACATGGATCAAGAGTTGCATGCCTCTTTCCTGAAGCTCATGTTCTGATTAATGTATGCAGTACCAGTTTCATGATAAAAAGTGAATGTGAAAACAACTGCAAAATAATCTAAATTGAATCTGAGAATCTGAATTCTTTTTACAGCAAGTCAGTGAGGCTCTGCAGCCACTTTTGTAATGGACTACTATTATCTGCCCATCAAATGGTTCTGTTCCTGTCTAAGCTTATGAACGTGATTGCAATTATCCTCTTTAAAGATGAAAAGTGTGTAATGTTAAAATGCCACAGAATTTGTTCTTTTAATGTGGTAATAATAAATAAATGCACTAATAATAAATAAATAAATGAATGAATGTTTAAAAATGTATAATTTAATAATTAATGTATATTCATTAATTAATTTTTTTATATATATTATTTAGATACTTTTACATTTTTATACTATATATAGTATAAAAATAAAAGTATTATATATATATTAAGCTTTATAAGTGCTTTATATACTTATGAATGTGAACAGTCTTCCTCTATTCACACTTATTCAGAAATCAGACCCTCAAATGAACTCCTGACATCCACACTGTATTTTCATCTGATCTCACAGTGATGACTTTTATCTTTTAATATTATTTGAATATTTGAAATTCAAATGATACAAAACTCCAACACTCCTTTCTGCAAGACCACCATAAGGGAAGAAAGTAGAATTATTAGATGCAAAATGTGTAAACATAAAAAGTTATGTTATAATCAAATGGCACGTCTTCAAAGTGTTTATGAAAACCGTGCCAGCCCTGTTCGAATTTCCCTGTCTTTCTGAAGTTACTGTTGAGAAACCGGTAACGAAATTAGAAAGCGACTGGCTTGTAGGTTTTTATAGGGCTCTGCTTTGAAGTGCTCTACAAGGAATAAGACCTCCTTAATGCAGTTTGGAGAGAGTGTGAGAGGGAGAAAGAGGAATGACTTTCAGCTGAAAATAACAATCCTGTTTCCCTAACGAGCACATCTCACTCTCTCTCCATCTCCATTTCCAAACCTCTCAGTGGAAAACACTGGCCAATTAAACAAGGGAAAAGATGCACACTTGCTGGTTCATCTGACAAAAAAAGGCATTAAAAACACAACGAAAACACAACAAAAAAGCTAAAACAGTGCAAAGCTGCAAACATTCTGCATATTCAGCTCAGCGTTTTTCCGTCTCGTCTTCTCACATTACTTCCTTGCCTATTTCCTGTTTTCCAGCTCGCGTCTCCCTCCGTTTTTGCATTATATTTGCTGTGACCTGCTTTTCTCCTGCAGCTAACCAGATAACCTGAATAATTACCTCACAAAGAGCTGTGTGTGTGTGTATGTGTGTGTGTGTGTCTTGCTGCTGGTATTCATTGGTGTGATGGTTACTAGGCGTGGCACAGCCATCTTCACTTCCTCTCAGGGTCACCTGCAGGGGTTAAAGTTCATCTGAGGAACTAAAATGATAAATTGAGGGTGGCCAGTATCTCACTCTTTTCGCTAACATTTTCCCTTAGTTATTTTTAAACGTGTTTCAACACCTGCAGGTCTCTGAGATGGAGTTATTTGAAGCCAAACGGCACAATAAAAGTGATAGGATTTGTCATGCTCCTGGCAAAGCAAGCCACAGATTTATTAAAAATTAATGCAAATTAATTAATTTGTAAATTAAGACGCATTAAGAGACAACAGAGGTCAATTTTATGGTCCTGCCAATGAAGTCTGCCACTGGAACATGTAGCGAGACCCTAATTATGCAACAAACAACAGTGTGTGTGCATAATTAGGATCTTTCTTCTGGTTCTAGTGTGTGTGTGTGTGTGTGTGTGTGTGTGTGTATACAAGATTATGTGAAAATATGAATGAGAGAGAAAGGGAAAAGTTTGTTTGTTTTCCAAAACAGCTCCTCCTCTCAAGACGGTTGCCCTATCGTGGACTAGGTCACTACTAAGGTCGATTTAAATGTCATGTTTAATGACTAGCTGCTATCACACTGAGCAGAGAGATCACTCAGGGCATTTAGAGGGCAACACACACTACCTGCAATGTTTTCATAACTAGAATTTGCTGGAGCAGCTACATTTAATAATCATCATATCTGGAGTCTGAAGAAAGCCCTTCAGGTATGATGTCATAATCATGGCTGGTTGAATGTGGAGTTGGATGCCCATTAGCGTAAAACCCTGAGATTTCGTCATCTAAACATAACAAATGAAGCCAATTTAAATTGTGTGATTCAGAAAGCTTTTTTGCAGCTGACTGTTTAATCCAAGTAGAATGGCATCCGGCATCCAGTGACTTGCATTCTGCTATCTTTGCCATTTTTGTTTCCTCTCATCATTTTAAGCCAATCACCTGAGCCATTAATGTGTCACATGACTGAACACTCTGGAGCTGCAGGACAATGATATAAAAATACAGACAGATGTCCAACGAGAATGTACACTAACACAAAAGCAACTATTCTGAGCCATGACATCATTTTTTAAAATGAGGGCAGCACTCACCGGTTTCCACATCCTGTGCGAAGAAGTGCAGTCCATCTGTGATTTCGGTGACATAGACGGCTCGGTATTTCGCCACACGTTCCTTCTCCTCTGTGAGCTGAGCCACCTCTTCTTTTGGTTTCTCTTCATAATTGGCCCAGAGCTGTCGATAAACACATTTTCCACAGTTTAAAACAGGATCTATAATTACCAATACACCACAGACACATTGCAACCCATTTTACTTTAATAAGTAAATGGGGTTCATTTTGATTTCATGTTCATTCAATCCTATTAACACCTCAGACTGAACAAGATCAGAGCGGTTTAATCCATTGGCATCAGTTTAAACATTGCGTTTGTTGATAATCCCTTCACATTCACATGATGGGTCGGTAACCTATTTACCCACCCATGAGAAGGTCACAATGACCTCTGCACTTCATGGACGACAGGCGGAATTGGCTAGATCTGAGCAAAGCCACAAGAGAATGAGGGCAGAGACTCATTAAGACTTGTGGTTGCAAATCACGAATTTGAGTGCGGATTTCAGCAACGTGCCAAAACGAAGGACGAGAAGTTCTTGAGTCAATTGAGTCATCAATGCTTTATGAAATGTCAAGAAAAGAGCCCCCACGTGCAGTCGAAGCAGTTTGTTTTGCTTACTAAGCACTGAAGGTTGAGTCTATTACGAAATACAAGCATGACAAATTAACAGGCTCTTATGCAATCGCCCCTTACTTCAGTTCGGAGGCTTTATTAGCAAATGATGTTCATCAGCTATTGAAGTGTTCTCACGGAGAGCAGGAGGCAGCTAATTACAAACCAGACTTTTATATGCGCTTCCTCACGTTGCTGGTTTTAGCTAATTATGTCCACCAGGACTGCAAGGCCGACATTTACAGGCCAATCTCACCACCAGACTGGGAATTACCATATATGTATGTAAAAATACAGCTGGTGACATTGAAAGTAAGCCTTGAAAACCCAGCCACCAAATGATAAACTACAGGGTTAAACTACCCAATTACATCTGATTATTTCCCCCGAGGAGTGACAAAAACAAGGGAACATGGAGGAAAATGATTCCTTGGGGAAAACAGCAGGGTTAATGAAGATTTAAACATGCCATGCTCTGCAAACCACTCCACAGCAAGGGTGCTAGTCTAACCCCACTATCCACAATGCCCTGGCACAGTAACACAAAGTTATTATCAAACCTGGAGGACCAATCACAGTCACCCAGATTTGAGTGTCAACATTTGTTACAGTGCCGACAGTCAATGCCATTTCTGGCACCACTGCGGCCACGTGACCTCTGACACACGGCGTAGAGGCAAGGGCACTTGAGACACGCGTGAACGGGCGGACATATGCAAAAACCCACTCTCACGTATCCTCCGCTGCAAAAGCACAAAAGCAGCCACAAACACACACAATGACTCAAAGAGACACACTGCACCCTGGGCAAATGACCTTCTGTGAGCAACCAACCATTCTTGTTTGTTCCACATGAGTGCAGGTATATGACTGCTGCTGGGCGGGGTCATGAAGAGAAAGGATTTGTGACGTATTCTGTCATTGAGCTGCCTGTGGCCTAAATCCATAGCAATAAGCCACAAAATACAAGTGTGACAGAGTGGGAGACGGAACGAGTGAAACGACAGCTTTGTTGCACGCTAACCACAATCCTCAAATGACAAAAAAACACATTGGCAGACATCTACAGAAGCAGAAACATGAGCGTCTAACATGGGCTAATGAGAGACTCTGATTGGATGAGCCTGTTAGAAACCATGGAAAAATTCTGAAAAACACAGTGCCCATAGAGGATACAGATGATACATTTATACTTATTCAAGTCACTGTAATGTCAACAGTAACCAAGAGTTCACAGTACCATAGGGAATGTGTAAATGTTAAAGAAATATTATCAACTGTAAAATTCAAATAATTTAATAATTAAAAAAATAATTTATGCATTTAGCAGACGCTTTTATCCAAAGCGACTTACAGTGCATTCAGACTATACATTTTTTACCAGTATGTGTGTTCCCTGGGAATCGAACCCACAACCTTTTGCGCTGCTAACGCAATGCTTAATTTTTTTTTTTTTTATTGCAGATAAAAATCCTTTGCAATGCCAAAAAAATAATATTAAATAATTGAGGATTTTTTTGCAGATAAAATGGGGAAAGACAAGCTTGTCTGAGTTAAAAACAGTAATCGAATGAGGGAAAATGGGGAAGAATAGTTTAAATACATTTTATGATTCTATATATATAAATGTTATAAAATAATATTAAATAATGATAGTTATTAGTAACTGTTTATTGAACATTAGTGTATTTTTATTCATAAAATAAACCACTTAAGGTTGTGCGATTTTACCTCAGTGAACAGTTTAGGCCATGACCTTGGCTGAAGTCACTGTAATGCATGCTATCGAGTGGTTTATTGCTTTATTATTAGTAGTATCAGTCATTGTAAGCAGCAGTTTATTTGTCAATAGTATATTAGTGTGTCTGTGCCTGTTGTGTTGAGCACTCAAGGAGAGGTCAGACTTCTATTCAGGGACTAAAGATACAGCAGAGTTACATTCATAAAAACTGCCTCTCTCACACACTGAGTTCAGGGAAGGGGGCTGTTCCAAACGCTGATGAAAGGTGACAGCGTGTCAATTCCAATAGAGTGTGTTCCACCCAGTGAGAGCGAATCCCCATCAACACCCAGAGTGCATACACGCACAAACACACAGGGCCCAAGGGAAAGAAGCAAACGTATAGTCCCAGTTCATACCGGAACACACTGAACTTTACCTGCCAAATTAATCAACATCCAAGAGAGTTATATGCATCAAACACTACAGTGAGCCAGGGAGAAGAACTACAATACCCATAAGTCACTGCACCCGAGGCAGGCAACCAGGCTGTCTTTTTTCGGCAAGCAGAAAATAAAGTAAAACTTGGCCTAATTTAGCTTTTTTTAAATAAGGGCTTTTATTTTGTCACATAGTCATTGTAGTGTATCAGACCGAATCAGACAATTTAAGATTCGATCAAGAACATGGTTGAAACACGAGGAGCCGAATTCCACAGAAAGGCCCAAGGCAACAGGATGTTCGTAAATCAGATCCTGGCACCACGAGTCTGAAGCAAGCCTAACCAACCAACTCTTTCACAGAACAGCTTGCAACATTAACACAAAAGAACAACTCAGGAAGGAGATTGTCAAATTTGGGGCAAGTAACCAAGATTAATGGTCAAAGACACAGCATATCATGACCATCACATGAGGAAAATCATTAGTAGAAACTGCGTTGGGTGGTTTCCCCCACCTAGAAGACAAAGACCAGACTGAGATTCCTTAAAAGACCCTTTAACCTCTGGTCTTCATAGAACATGTCCTTATGTTCACAGAATGGCACAGAAACTGTCTTTTATTTATATTCATGTTGGGTATGTTTGAGTTTGAAAATTCATATCAATCAGTACTTTGTAAAATGTATTATATTCTTGTTATAGAAATCATGTCCAAAATTATACTCTGCAAGAGCGGGAAAATTCGGACCATGTGACTGATAAGATAACGTGTGATTTATGTATTGGGAGGAGAAATATACAACACCCCGAGCTAAGACATTGTCTAATTGGTCAAGACAACATTTGGGGTGTGTCCAAAAGCCCAGTTTAAATACTCAGGACACCATCAAATTATGCTTTTTAGCTTTTAGCTTCAAGTCATCACTTTTAGCCATGCGGTTTTTAGTTTTTTTTCCTTGCCTTTTTGCTACCTTGTTTTGACGCTGCTTTTTAGCGCTCTTTGAGCATGATCTGGCTTACACGCCAGCAGCTCCTCTAAAACCATGAGGAGAAAACCCATCTAGTCTCGTTACTTCTATTCTTCTACTTTAATTTATTTTCTTGCAACGCAAGTACCTCCAGATTCTAGCTGAACTGGTGCATTTAATATAAATTTTAACCTCATTGAGAAACTCAAGGCGAGGGTTAATTAAGTGATTGATGGTTGTTCAGGTCTATGCAATTGCACATATTGCTGTAAACTTGGGATTTCACATTTTCATTCTCTTAAACTCATTCTTTCCTCACTTTCTCTCTTCCTGCAACTTGTGTGAATGTGTGAGTGCGTGTGTTTATGTGTTAGATTTATCTAATAAAGCCTTATTTATATTGAAAAGAGAAGTATCTTGTGTTTTGTGCTAACAAGTTAATGTCTTAAACTGCCGATCTTGTTACTGTGCTAATAAATAGTGTTTTCACTATACTTTGGATATTAATATCCATTGCAGAATTGATGTTATACGGCTCGTTCAATGAACCACTGGCCGACTCAGTGATCAGCCGTAAAACAGTGATTCTGTCCAAATTCCCTATAAAATCATAAATGATTCCCTTTGAGCTAAATTGACCTGTTTACCTTACATCATCTAATAATGCTTAAAAAAAAAATCAAAAGCCATGCTTATTATTAATCAAATTATACTTGGTAAATCAATTTAGCGTCCATTATATTAATAATGAAGGCACCTTTGGAAATAAAGCTCATTAATTCAAGAGAAGCCTCTTTTTGACACTTCTGTGTTAGACATAATGGCACGGCACACTCACCCAACACACCACACACACACAAACATCTTTCACAAAGTCCACTTAAACTCAGGAGCTGGTGCATAAATTGGATAGTTGGAATACTAAGATGCGAGTCCGATGACAGGAAGAAAAAAAAATATTGTCAGCAGTGTATACCTGGAAATATCAGATTTAAGAGATTCACTGGCCATTAGCAGTGTATAAAGACAAAACTTCTATTTTCTCTCCATTCTAGGACAAATACTGTACAGGAATAACCAGATGGTTTGTTAAACTCAATTTTGCTGGCAGTGCTTCAGTCCTTCAAAGTGAAATGATTCACATTTCTAAAGGGGACATAGTTCAGTAAATCTGTCTAGCTGTCTGGAGACTCTGTATTCCACTGTAATACTTGGATAAAAACACACTTAAACTCGACTGAAGTCAACATTAAACATCTGAAACCAATTTTATTCGAGAAAATTCAAACTGAATGTTCATTCGATGAAAATAGTATCTCTGGCTGCGTTTACACTTGGCATTAACATGCGACCTGTATCCGGATGTTGTCCAC